TATCTTTTTTTCCTCTGGTCAGTAAATACTGTCTTCTAGCATTTAAGTAAAATTTTAAGGTAACTAAAGGAATTACTTAAGAATGATTTCTTTTGAACTGCATTACGAAGGGTAGTTTTTCAGTCAATATCAATTAGTATCAGATAGATTAGCACTTGTGAACACAGTGTGGCAGAGTTTTAATCCATATTAGTTTGTTTATCTGATATACAGTATTATTATGATTTGGCTGATGTTTCAAGTACAACTTATTATTTGCTAACAGTACATAAAAATGCTGATTGGTTCTATTAGCAGACAGAAGGAAGAAATACTTGGGCTGTCGGATATATATATATATATATTATTATATCCTTTAATTCCTAGAGGAACATAGGACTTCAGCTGCAAGCCTCCATTGCCTTCGGTTTCCTGCCAACCTTTTCACCCAGCTACAAGTCTGCCCACATGCTTTCATTTCCTCCTCACATGATCTCCTCCAAGTCACCCTTGCACTGACGACCAACTCGCCACCCGCTTCCCTTTCGGGTTCCACTCGAGCGATGGCTTGTCTAGTGATGTCACTTGATGGTTTCCTCAGAGTATGGTCAATCCAATCCACCTCCATTGCTTCCTGCCTAATTGTTTCACAATCGGTTCCTGTTGGGTTGGTTCGCTCATTGCCAGAGATCCCTGTTCCTGAACTTTTCTGGCCGGCTATCTGATCTTGAGTAGTATTGAGCGAAGACAACTGTTAATGAAGGTCTGAAGTTTGTTGGAGATGCTCTTTATGACGCGCTGACCAAGTCTCTGATCCATCCCTATAGTAAGTGGCACTGACTGACTTCACATTGGAGTCGAAAATCCTCATCTTATTTTCGTTTTCATGTTGAGTGCTGTTGGCCTCCAATCCACACAGACTTGAGAGTAATGAAAGCTTGTCTTGCCTTTCCGATTCTGGCTTTGATATCTTCGTTAGTTCCGTCGGCCTGTAGTTGAAACGATGCTTCCCAGGTAGGTGTGTAGGTAAAGGAGGTTGTTTCTTTCAGGTTCCGCCCATTTATGTTGGGTGATTGTTGTCTGTTGTTGTTGTTGCTGTGGCTTTCGGTGTTGGCCAGGAATCTTCATCACCTCTGTTTTCTCCATGTTCACCTGAATGGTGTCCTATCTTCTCTGGATGCTTGTTCTGCCAGCTTGTTGCTTTTCACTTGCATATCTTCCAGTTTATGGGAAATCAGACATATATCATCGGCGAACATATATATATATACATATAATTACCTGACAGCTGCCTACCATCCAACGTGACACAAGTGTACTTGCAGACTAGGACTTTTATTAATCCTTCTTTCACAGTCTAGAAGTGTTAAATGAATGGAAATGATCTATTTAGAAAAATACTTTTAGTGTTTGTATATCTCCAGAGGGTTCTGTTGTATAATTTTTAGTCACATCCTGCAGTTACACCTTCACTCATCCTCTATTAATAGTCACTCGGCATGGTGATTATGTTATTCAGTCGGTGTTATCTGCACAAAGAAATATTGCATGTTCGTTTTATCAAGACAACTTATCTGTTTGTTTGCTTTTCACACCTTTTTTCAAGAACTAATGTTTTCACCTTGCATGGAAAACTACTTCTATTCACATATTAATGATGGTAAAGTATACTGATTTTTTTTTACCAAGCATGGTAGTTCAGTAGTATGTCCAATTGCAAACCACACGTTGTTCCCATTGTAAAAAGACACTTTTATTTTTGTAGCAATTACATGTTCAGTCTTCATTAAATTTCTGTAGCATAGAGGTGGAAAGGTTTTAATTTTGATTAACGTACCTATTCAGAGTTGACTACTATAAAAAAAATAGTATAGTAGAGCTCAGTGATAAAGCAAATATTTTTTTAGTTACAGAGGTTGAACTGTTGAGTTATTGTGGGTTCGTTTGATATTATGATGGGCGTCGTCACAAATGTATAAAAGATCAGAGATCACAGAACAGTAGTTCCTTTCCAGTGTAAAACTGTTCAATGGTGCGCACTAGTGCCTTCCATAGAGGAAAAACTCAAAACTGTTGACTCTTACAGTGACAACATTTCTTTGTCAAGATGGAGACAGCAAATGATATAATCCATTAGAATTGCTACCGTAACTTATAAAAAGCAAATGAATACCACTATCCACTTGTCGTGCAATCACAGCAAGCTAGACAATACAATAATAAACAGAATCACTTGTTTAACAGATAAACAGTGATGTACTTAGTTAGAGTATATGTTACTCGATTAACTCCACTTAAGCGGACTAACATTCTACTGATCTAGTTGTGTGATCCAGTATCTTCCACAATTGTGGCTTTTTTCTCCACTTATTTGGTGACTGTTTGTTATTCATACATGTAAAATGTATACAATGTATGTAAGAAATACCTTGCTTGTGTAAACAATTATAGTGCTTCAGTGAACAAGAGAATCTGTACCGATTATCCTGACCTAATATTTACCACGTGAACTGTCTTATTCATCTCTTTATAAGATCGTCTTATTAGTTTAACAATGTATTATCCAAAAATCATGTTTTTACTGGTTGACATTATACATTTTTATTAATTGCTATCTCATGGAGGATTTCATCATGAGCTGACATCATTTAGAGAACCACTGGAGAACCTGGGAGTACTGGACAGCTGTTTCGTCCTAGTTTGGGACTCTTCATCAGTACGCACCCACCGGGGTTCGAACCCAGGACCTTCTGGTTACAAGGCGAGCTCGTAGACCATTGAGCCACTGGGACCCGATCCAATGGTCCTTGAATTCTAACTTCTGCCAATTCACGATGAAATCCTCCATGCAATCAAACAAAATTCCTACAAAACCAATACTTGATAATTGCTATCTCTTGCTGTAACGCTTTAGTTGAATTAACCACATTTAAGTCACCTGAAAATTATTTAACACTGGCGGTCCCACTGCCTGAGATAGCTTCAGAAAACTTGATCAATAATAACATATATGTTGGTGACTGAAAGTGGAAAGACCTGGTTGGCCAACTTATGTGTTGTTGTTAAATGGAGGGCTAGCCACCACTCCCATCACTCATTCATATAACAACTCGATGTTTACAGAGAAATTATACTCTGGTTAGCCTCTAGGTGTGATAGCTCACTTATTAGAGGTTTAGTCTAATTGTCTAGTTTCAACGCTACTTGGACCTAGTTTTTTCCCCTATTCACTTATCACTGATTGTGTAAGTTAATATATATATTGAAATTATGGTTACTTATATTAATTATCCCAGAGCTTTGATTTCCCTGCATGTCGAGTCATTTCTTGACATTTTTTTGTAAAATCACCAGAACGAGAAAATATGGTTATTTCCGACAGTCTGCTTCTTGTTCCTCCGTCAGCATATTTATTTCACAAAACGATTAGTTAGCATCTGGTACCGACTATCTCTGCCTACCTAGTACTTTCAGTTCATGTTTGTTACTTCTACTTATCTTTTTTTGGCTGCAATTACTGTAATTACTTTTCCATTTTCTAATACTCCACCGGGAAGTATTTCACTGTAGTTTCTGTCCTTAGATGTGAATAAAGGAGAGTGATGCTCAGGAAAGCTTTGTGTACTTTTGGAAGTGTGTGGGCGGTTGTTACTTCCCGGCTGCCCACACCGTAGGAGTTGTTTTATTCTTGGGTTTCCTGAAAGAGAAAGAGGGTTAGTGTTGCGTAACCGCAGAACCTAGGAGACAACTGCTTGAGGCCGGTCACTCACGGCCTGTATGAACTGGTTTCTGGGATTGGTTCCGTATTAGTAAACTTATCGTCAGTTACGGACCACCGTAGGGTAAGTCGGGATGTACAATTTTTAGGGTCGACCTTTTCTAACCTCCTCTCTCCAGAGTGGAGAGACAGCATAGCTGGAATGCCGGTCATCTGAGGAAAACACCTTACTGCTGTTACACCCCTGTTCCCCAGCAGTACGACTTCGCCCTCAGACCCCCAGCATAGTGTAAGAAAGATTCTTACACTAAGCCGGTAACTGCTTCTAGTCTAATCGCTATCCTGACAACCTTCTTGGCATGGTAGGACCTGCAGGAACATTAGCTTCAGCCAGTGTTGCTTGTTGGGTAATTGTGATATGCAAGCCCGACCACAACGTCAAGGTAGCAGCTATCGGTCGGGTTTCTGTTCTTAAGATCTGTAAGCTCTATCACTATCCAGTGAATATAATAGAGAAGATTTATAGCTCACCTGGATGATTTTGGTGCAGTGGTTTTGAAGTAAACTGACCTCAAATTGAAGTATGTTCAGAGGATGTTGTCTGGTAAGACAACAAAAGCTTCACAACAAAACCATCCAGCTCAGAGAACACAACTACACTAAAATTACTTACTGGATAAGACAATAATGATCAAACGGTTACTAAGATAATCAGTAACAAACTAATCAATAACTAACTTTTATGTAAACTAAAATACGGTGTATCGTACAGGCTATTTGTTACTTATTGAATAGAGTTTAACATCGGTTAATATATACTTAGTGAAGTTTTTACACTCTTAATTAGCAGTTGATAGTATTATCCTCCATTCGTGTTTCTTCTCGTCTATGCCTTATTGTTAAATAATAGTGTGTCACAGTGAATGACATTCCACCTAAAATCCGAACTCAGTGTCCACAGTGTAAAGGACTAAATTGTCATCCTCTAGATTACTAAGATACTTGAAATGTTTAACTGCTAGTGAGAATAAATTCAATGAAAATAAGTAAATAAAAGTGAAAACAGAATCGCTATTTTTGATTCTGGTTTATATTGAAAAACTTTTTAAGAGACAGTCAAGTGATTTGTGAAAATGTGTTTTGCTCTGTGAAGCTGGTGATGCTTCAAAGAATCCTTAATTACTTGCTACAAATCTCCTGAAAGTTGACAGACTGATTATTTAACTAACTAAACATTTCTCTGGAATAAATTTCTTCGCATATGAATATGTAGATTTAATCTGCAATTTTTCACTTTTAATAGAGGCTAGTAATGTGAGCACAGATTTCAATACAATAGTGGAAACGGAAACACCACCAGCTACACCGGTTAAAGAAGAACACGATGATGATGACGATACAGTGGTCATGCCTGGTGTAACCATAAATTTGTTACCATCATCAACTGAGTCAAATGAAAAGTCTCATTCAAATTCCACCACAGGAATGGAAAATGACGCAGATAATCTTGGTTCAACTCAACCTGATCTTGATGATTCACCTGGGGAAATAAGGGTGAAAAAAGTAAGTTATTTATGATGTATTACCAAATAAAATAATTTTTCATTACCTACTATCATACTTTACTGTCCAAAAGGTAATAACATACACTGATTGGTAAGCAGTGTGTAACCAGTCAATGTAACCACTACATCCCTATAGGGAATTAATTGGGAACCTGAGTAGCTCAGTGTTAACGTCTCCTATCTGGGCAGAAACTTCTGATGGGACATTAGTTCCTTCGAATTTGAAGATACACCTTGATGATCACTGACAACAAGCATGAAACCCAAGCCCAGGGCTTCCTGTCGATTGTTGTTGCTCCCTTGGGTTCCTAGTGGAACATAGGGCTTCAATTGCCCATCTCCATTTGCCACTTCTGTCTTCCTTCTGCTGTACTTTTCACCTCCATCCATGTTAGTCCATACTCTTTCAACTCCTCTTCACACGATCTCCTCCATGCCACCCTTGCACTGACGTCCCACTCGCCGCTTCCCTTTTGGCCTGGTTCCACTGGAGCAATGGCCTGACGCGCGCGCGATGTCACCCAGTGGCCTCTTCGGCGAGTGTCCAATCCATCCATCTCCACTTTCTCCTACATATTTTTTGGTTTGCGATTGGTTCTTGTTTTGTTTGTTTGTGCGCATAGTTTCTTGTTGATGACTCTTTCCGGCCCGGCCATCTGATCTTCATTATAGAGCCATAGAAGACAGTTGCTGGTTGATGAAGGTCTGCAACAGGCTATTGGAAATATTCTTTGTGACCCACCCGCCAAGTTTCTGATCCGTATAGAAGAACTGACTGACTTGACGTTGTTTGTATGGAAAATCCGACTGGATTTTGTTGTTGATGCTGGCTGAGTGACGAAGATTTCCAGATTGGTTTCAGGTTGATGAATGTGCTTCTCGCCTTCCCGATTCTCACTCTATTTGACATACACGTCCGTTGCGACTGCTTGTAGTTGAGACAGTGCTCCCTAGATAAGTGAATGAATGAAGTAACCTCTTTCAAATCCCTCCCGTTGATGGTGATTGGCGCTGGATGTTGGTGCTGTTGTTGTTGTTGGTTGGTTATTTTCATAACCTCCGTCTTGTCTATGTTCACTTGGAGTCCTGTCTTCGCCGGCTGCTTCTTCGACCAGTTTGTCGGTTTTCGCTTGTAAGTCTTAGATTGTGTGTGACATCAAACATAAATCATCCACGCGCGAAATCCAGGTCTTCTAGGTTCTTCACGTCGGTCCAGGATATCCGTGTCTTCTCGTTTCCCACTGTTTGACGCATAATCCAGTCCAGCACAATTAGGAATATCATTGGTGATAATAGGCAGACAGCCTTGTCTGACTCCTGTGTTTATTCCAAACGCCTCGCTGAGTTTTCCGTTGTGGATCACTTGACATGTGTCTGTCGATTGCTTCCAAATAAATAATACCGGATGGTGATATTCTTCACAATGTGTTGATAATCTTACAGAGCGACAAATGAGTTTATTACTAATCAGAACATTAACACATATTTCAGGAGTTATGCGAAGAAATGCCAATTTTCATGAATTCACTTCAACCATACGAAGTTTAACTTTACAGCTAGCTTTCTTTTACTTTCACTAAGAATAACATCTTGAAGAAAAAAAGTTATTTTCCCTAATAATAGCTCTAGAAATTTTAAATATTTGGATTTTAAAATTTAAAATTTTTAGATAGTTCGTTTCAACTTGACAACTGATAACTGCATAGGGTGTAACACTATGATAGTCAAAAAAGCAAAACACTATATATTTTTGGTGTACATGCTAGCACTTATATAAGTGAGTCATTTTTTGAAAGTGTTTGACTATTTCATGAACTACCGCAGCTACTCTTAGCATAAATGAAGGCTTCATATTTACAAAGGGATACAGGATAACTTTTGTTGTATATTTATGTGAATGTAATATCAATTATCATTGATTCGGATCACTTTAACTGATACGTAATACTGTGGTGAGAGCAGGCTGCTAGCCGAATCGGTAGACAATTATTTACGTCAATGTTTGTGTCGCAAATATTGGTCGTGCGAAAATATGAACAAGACTGATTCAACAACCAGTCACAGCAGACCTGGCGTAGGCAGATATAGTTAACATATAGATGATCTGACATTCAAGAAACAGTCACAAAGAGATGCAAGATCAACTTTCTGGGAGAAACAACCAATCAGAAGACTTTATTTGTTTGCTTGAATAAGCTGTAATAATGTACATGAAAATATATGAATAGGTGTTCGTTTCCTTGATAAACTATCTGTTTCTTGGCCCTTGTCTTCTGTTGCTACAATACAACTTCTAAGCTATAAAAAAAGTACATCTACTTATATCTTGCTTACAAATAAGCCATAGTTACGCATTTTATCCATACAATACGTAGATTAGACTATCAAACTAAGAGAAGGTTCGTGTAGAATAAAATAGTCACTTATTTATCAAACCCAGGTGGGTGCGTACTGATGAAGAGTCCCAAACTAGGACAAAACAACTGTCTAATACTCACAGGTTTTCCAATGGTTCTCTAAATGATGTCAGCTCATGATGAAATCTTCCATGTATTTATCAAACAGCGAAATCTTTTGCATATGCCTGTCACCAATACTTCGAATTCTTTTTCAAAGAATGTTAAACTTTTTAAATGTCTTCAAATGAAAATTATTCCCTGTAATCATAGTGAAATTCAACGATGGTGGATTTTTGTGTATGGACTGGCAAAATTACTGTCTCTTATAAGTTATATCATTACCACTGTAATTGTTTAGGCTTTCAACTCTTGTTTACTGTTGATTCTTGATCGACTGCTATCCAGTCATTTCTTACATTTAATCCCATTTATTAATTTGAATAAAGCGAGAACAACAGATTTAGTAGAATATAATGGTACTATCATTTATTCATACGAACTGTGATCAAGATTTGACCGGATAGTTGCAAAATAATTGAGCGCTGAGTGAGAAGTAGACATTTATAAAGTTATATTTGTAAAATCTCAGCGAAATTGAAATGATTAGTTCCAACGTTTCGTTCGGCAATCTAGTCCGAACTTCTTCGGGAAAATTAATCGAAATTAACATAACAAAGGTTTATATATAAAGGGACACCTCTTGTTTTTTTAAATTTTGTCCAATCATGAGTCATGCAACAGTTATCAATATGTATAATAAATAAATAAATAGATAGAATTGTATGTTTATATAAAAGTACATCTCTTATTTTTTAAATATGAATCAATAGGTATACTGAACAAAACAAAACAAAAATTGTATGAACTATGATCAAAAAGTTTTTTGACCTCAGACTAAGGTTTTACAGAAAGGTTTTGGTTCATATCAAGAAAGACTGACTGCAGAAGCCCTACATATATGGGTGAATCCCAACATTTTAAACAGACGTGAAAGTGTGATGTTAGCTGATGCATGGCAAATCCTGACTAATAAATAAAATAAAATTTGATATGAATGAACAAGTAGTCACACTTGGTCAAATTCCCGGTTGTCTACGTCTTCTTATGGAGAGAATAACAAATCTATAAGAATTAAATTATATTTATAAAAATTTTCTATAGTTTGGTTTGTAAGGATTAGTTATGTTTTACGAGTTGATCACGGATTGATATCAGTTAGAGAACCATTGAAAACCAGGGAGTACTGGACAGCTGCTGTTTCATCCTAGTTTGGGAATCATCGGCAGTACGCCGATATCAATCCGTGATCAACTCGTAAAAATTTATAAAAATGTCAATTATTTTGTAACTATCCGGTCAAATCTTGATCCCAGCTCATATGAGAATGGCAAATGTTTTATGACTGATCCACCCACCCACACATACACACACACACCATTGTATCCTGCATATACTGCATATACACATATATTTTAACAAAAGTAGACAAAATTTTTAAAAGTCTGAGGTCAAAAACGTTTTTGATCATAGTTCATACAATTTTTGTTTTGTTTTGTTTAGTATACCTATTGATTCATATTTAATTATTTATTATACATATTGATAACTGTTGCATGACTCATGATTGGACAAAATTTAAAAAAACAAGAGGTGTCCCTTTATATATAAACCTTTGTTATTTAAAACACATAGTCCCTTTTATAAATTTTGATAGCGTTATTAGAAGACGGAGACTATCTGAAAAATGTGATGTATTAGCGCTATACATTTCGAACAATCTGATCACACATTTACTTGTCAAGTCAATATATATAGAAAGGTTAAATTAAACAAAGTGGGAGAAAACGGAATTAAGAATAATTAACACAAACGTTTGGTAATCCAATCAAATAAGGATTACCAAGGTAGGTTAAGAGTAATGACGAACTGTTTTTGAATACACAAGGGGGGCTTAAGTCTATGAATAGCTATAGCCTCAGCGTATTTCAGTAAACGCCCTTGACCGTTTTTATAGATGACCTTAAAGGCTGAGTTAACATCAATCTTATGGTTCATCTCGATTAGATGTTTACCTATAGACGAATTTGGTAGTCTGCCACCTGAATCTATTAGCTATGAACATAAAAGATAGGAAAATGTATTCATTTGATGTTAATTCTTTGTTTACTAATGTACAATTCATTAAGACTGTTGATATTCTTTGTGACTATATTTCTTCTAGTTGTTTTTCATTCCCTTTCCCTTTAACTTATTTGAAAGATTTATTATTATTATGTACTGACAACGTCCATTTCACGTTTGAAGGCGAACATTTTCGACAAGTGGATGGCGTTGCTATGGGGAGTCCATTAGGACCTTTGTTAGCGGACGTGTATATGTCTTATGTTGAAAACTTATCCCTTGATTTAATTTCAAAATTGCCCTTTTATAGGAGATATGTAGATGATATCATTTTGATATGTGACGATCATGAAGATGCGAGTCGCCTATTAGACAGACTTAACTCTGTACAAAATCATATTAGTCTTACATGTGAGGAAGAAAGTCGCAACCAGCTAGCATTTTTAGACATACTTCTGAGTCGAAGAGATGATGGCTCAATAAGACGGTCTATCTACAGAAAGCCCACTTGGACAGGGCAATACCTTAATTTTCACAGCTTCTGTCCATTACAGTATAAGAGGGGCTTGGTGAAGTGCCTATTCAAGAGGATTCAGCGTATTTGCACGGCTGATGTTATGGACAGAGAAAACGAAATATTAATGGATACTCTTGTTGAAAACGGATATCCTTTGAAATTTTTAAACAGGTGTAGAAGTCAACTAGCCTCTAAACCTACAATCCATACCGTCCCTAAGAAAAAGGTTTTTATCAAATTACCATATAACGGGGAAATAAACAGTAGGATTGTGAGACAAAGGTTGAATTCAATCATCCGTAGGACCTACTATGCAGCCCAGCTTGTAATTGTGGAAAAAGCCAAAAATATGCTTCACTGTAAACCCCAAAAGTGCACAAGTGATTATATCACATCCCATACAATTTACCAATTTTCGTGTGTGTGTGGACATACATACATAGGGAGGAGTAATCGCGCTTTGCACGTGAGGGTGGGAGAGCATATCCCAAAATGGTTAGAAAAACAGATGAATTGTGACAAGCTAATAGATGCAGGTGGCAGACTACCAAATTCGTCTATAGCTAAACATCTAATCGAGATGAACCATAAGATTGATGTTAACTCAGCCTTTAAGGTCATCTATAAAAACGGTCAAGGGCGTTTACTGAAATACGCTGAGGCTATAGCTATTCATAGACTTAAGCCCCCCTTGTGTATTCAAAAACAGTTTGTCATTACTCTTAACCTACCTTGGTAATCCTTATTTGATTGGATTACCAAACGTTTGTGTTAATTATTCTTAATTCCGTTTTCTCTCACTTTGTTTAATTTAACCTTTCTATATATATTGACTTGACAAGTAAATGTGTGATCAGATTGTTCGAAATGTATAGCGCTAATACATCACATTTTTCAGATAGTCTCCGTCTTCTAGTAACGCTATCAAAACCTTTGTTATGTTAATTTCGATTAATTTTCCCGAAGAAGTTCGGACCAGATTGCCGAACGAAACGTTGGAATTAATCATTTCAATTTCGCTGAGATTTTACAAATATAACTTTATAAATGTGTACTGTCATTTATTTCGCTGACTTCTCATCGGCTGCTTATAGTCCAAAGACATTATTAAGTATATCTTAGGAAACAGTTTTAACATACTTGCACATAGTTCATTTTAAAGAAATATGCAGTATATGCATGTAATGCTAATAGTCATAATAATTTTATCCCAAACAATAGTAATCATACACAATCGAATCTTTCGACGTTACGTAATCAGATGAAAGAGACGATGCAAACATCCAGTTACTAGGGCAAAGAAAAACTGATAACCGCTTCTTTCTGAGAGCATAAATCGGGTTTCAAACTCTTGATGAAGACTGCTTCGATAAACTAAAGGAGAACTGAACTCTTATGTCTGCGGATAATTTTGAACAAACTTGTGACGCCCGCCTCATGACCCGTGTCAAAGAGATGCCTAGCGATAGCACTGTTGAAAACATTTGTTCCCTTGAGACATAGGCTTTTTGGTACACGTTCAGAAAATCGGAGATATGCCCTTTTTTCTGTTCTTCCAATGTAACTGATCCCGCAGATACATGTAAATTTGCATACACAGTTGATTTTATGTTTAAAACGAACTCTATGCAAGTATGTTAAAATTGTTTCTGTAGATATATTTAATGACTTTGGGCTGTAAGCATCTGAGCTAATGAGAAGTCAACGAAATAAATGATTGTACAATTTTATTCTATAAAAATTGTTGTTCTTGCTTTATTCATAACCAGTCATTGTTAGGAGTATTTGCTAAATAGCTCTGTGTGTAATTCAAAGGTGATGATGATGATAGTTAAAGAAGAAGGAGTGAAAACAGGATTTGCAGGATAATTCAGATAAGTAGCCTTAGTTTTTGTTAAGTTTTGCCTAATTCCGCGATTTTATTTCAACTTTATGGATTTATTTTATAAAATCTCCATTCATTTCGTAATTCCATCCATCCATCATATTTTCGATTTTATCATGATCCCCCTGTATACAGATCAGTTATGAAAAGGTGAGTATTTACGGAAAATCAGGAGATGAACAAGACACTGCAGAAGATAAAGCAATTAATGATGATAGTAATAATAATAATAATACGAGAGGCAGAAGAAGAAATATCTCCAAAAATGAGATAAACAAAAGAAAATCTTTTGATTTAAACCTGAGCAGTGGTTTAACGCATAAAAATTCTGGATATAAAAAAATGACCACTTCAAAATCAACCAGTTCTATAAGTAAGCATTTACAACAACAACATCCTCAAGGTCAACATTCATCAAATAATTCACTGGTTTCATTGAAGTCTAAAATAGATGAGGATAGAAATGAAGTGAAACAACTGGGTATCATAAATGATCCATGCACTGTGACACGTGATGAACAGTCAATTGTTACAGTAAGTAAACATAATTTTTTGCACACATTTTACTCTTAACAGACTCGCCTTTAAAAAATTGGAGTAGAAAACATAGGTTACTCAATGTTTGATGAGTTATTTATAGGTTTTTTAATTGTTATACTGGAATATATTTTCTTTTAATGCAGTTTACTTACTTCACTTCAGCAAATCTCTAGAATTTGTGTTGCATTGTATTTACTTCTAGAAATAAATTATACTTTGACACTGAATGTTTGAAGGCTATAAGCTTAAAGCTTTAAATCTAAGCTTTGTACTTACTGGTACTCTTAAATGAGACATACTCACATCCCCATGGAACCCATGTCGCCGCAGATGTTTTAATTTGCGCCACTCAGTGTTATGGTTGCAAATGAGTCTCCTAAAGTGTTGATCACATTACTGATGGCCAAGAAACTTAAGTGCGTGGCTTCAGGTTGATTGCTTCCAACAATCCGAAATCGTAACAAAGTTTCCTAGCTTCTTGACCAAGTAGAATTCCTGCACCATTAAGGACAGCATGACACCGATTGCTCTTTGTAGTGATCAATTTATTCTGATACTTGTAAATTGATACTTTAATTGGGGCGAAGTCTAGCTTACACTGTGGTGATTTGATACAGACAATGTGTCCAGCGGAATATTATTTCATATATTTCCACAGTTCAATACTGCATCAGCGACAGAATAATATATGTATATTTGAACATTCTATTTCGTTTCGTTTGATGTAAACCGAAACCACATGCTCAGGGATTAGTTAAACAATATAAAACAATCAAATGAACTGTAGTCAAGATTTGACAGAATAGTTCTAAAAAATTTGGGCGCCGAGTGAGAAGTAGACATTTGTAAAAAATTATATTTGTAAAATCTCAGCGATATTGAAATGATTAATTCCAACGTTTCGTTCGGCAATCTGGTCCGAACTTCTTCGGGGAAATTAATCGAAATTAACATAACAGAGGTTTATATATAAAAGGAACATCTCTTATTTTTAAAAACGCTTTGTCCAATCATGAGTCATAAAACAGGCATCAACATGTACAATAAACAAAATTGTTTACTAACCGTTTGAACAGACATGAAGGTGTGATGTTGGCTGACGCATAGGAAATCCTGATTAATAAATAAGAATGGATATGTATCACTAACTAATAATACTTGATCAAAGTTCCTGACTGTCTATATCTACTTATGGAGACGTTAAGACATTGTTTTACAACTGTTTATCCGCACACATAAACACTGTGTTTAAAGTGTTTAACAAAGGTAGATCAATATTTGTAAGTCTGAGGTCAAATTTTGATCACAACTCATACAATTTTGTTTATTGTACATGTTGATGCCTGTTTTATGACTCATGATTGGACAAAGTGTTTTTAAAAATAAGAGATGTTCCTTTTATATATAAACCTCTGTTATGTTAATTTCGATTAATTTCCCCGAAGAAGTTCGGACCAGATTGCCGAACGAAACGTTGGAATTACTCATTTCAATATCGCTGAGATTTTACAAATATAATTTTTTACAAATATAAAACAATATATATACATATATTTATGGCGGTTGATCACATGAAGATATACCTTGGCTTCTGTGTCTTACCTTCTGCTGCATTTCATTAACATGAACTAGTTTCTACAGTGATTCGTCTTTTAGTTCATCTTTTTAATTAGGTAGTCCATGTATTGTGAATAGTATGTTAACTGCTTATGATTACTATTTACCTGTACCTTCGTCATGAGCCCTGAGGGCATGAAAGAAAGAATCCTGGAAGAAATACATTATGATGGAAGCAAGAATGATAATAATGGAGAGAGAACTTGAATTCCTAACTGAGAAAAAACGCTTATCAATTGAGAATGCTTGCTTACGGCTTTTGTCATGAATGAAGTCGGCAACTAACTAAATAACCACACAAATAGCTGACAAAATTTCAAACACTTTTCAGTTGAAAAAAATTGACTATACTTATTTTACTCATGACTTATTTCACTTCTCAAAGTGTAAAGCTGACTTGATCACATCCTCACTTTACTATCCAGAGACTGTTTGGTTCTTCGAAGTTCTACTGTTGAGGCTGTTGTTTGTGGTATGTTTTTCACTGTCATACATTTGGCGTTTGTTCAGCTTGTTCTACTTTCGAATGTCACTCAACTTGCTTTGAAGTGAACAACTGAGTAGGACCAATGACTCGTGCACAATAAGTTTAGCTCACAGCCTAGAACAGAGGAGATTTATATCAGGTTGTAGAATTGCAGTGTACATTATTTATTTTTAAAATGAAAATTGATGTACTGAAGGTATAACATACTTCTATTCCAACATTTTGATGTTCTACCCAATAAACATCTTTCCACAAATATTTATAAATAACGCTTTTAAGCTTTTCGCTTGTGTGATCATAAGTTCCAAACACTGGCACAAAAAGCTTATGACTACAGGTATACGTCTAAAAATATCGTTGGATTAACAAACAGTAAACTGTATGTGTAAGTTCGATTCTTTGTGGTTTACATTTTATTGAATGAGTGTTGCTTTTTCTATTCATGAGGAAAATCGGATTTCAAATTAACAAACGATAACTATACAGTGCGTGAGTTGTACTGAGACATAATATTCCTCATGAGTTATTTGGTGTAGTGTATATCTAAAAATTCAAAAATGATGATGGTAATCAGTTATTTGATTGAATGTCTGTGGTGAATAGTTCAAAGCAAACCAAGAATTTTCATGGAAAGGCATATATGCCTCCTACCACTTTCATCACTTATGTAAACCAATGATTCATATCAAATAATAGTCGATAAAAGTTTTCAGATTTATGAGAATATACGGCGTATTTTTCCGACCAAATTCCACTGACTGCATACAAAGAGTGTAACTACAAGTGTATACAAAATCTCCCTATTAGTCAAATAGTGAGTTCGTGAGATAAGGATTTATCTTAGGCAGAACTAATCATAAACCGTTGTCAGGCGGGTGATCATTAAAAACCAAGAAGTATCTAACAAATTTATCGTCCTGATTTCTGACTGTTAGGGAGTGAGTACCGGCCAAGTTTCATATGACCACAGATCGATAATTTTGAACTCATTGACAATATGCTTGTTTTTTAATCGAACTGCCGTGGATTCATCACCCTGAGTGATGGAGAATGCACACTATTTAAAAAATTCGTAATCGAGATGAAATACACATTTCGTGTTATTTGGTTTCTATCGCCTCTGACTGACATCATATAGAAATCACTTCTGTAAATCTTGCGGAGAAAAAATAACTTCTCAGGTTTCACTTAAGATTTATATAAAACAAGCAAGAAAACATATCACTTTGAAGTCTATGATCTTACCATCATAGCCGGGTCACAGATAATTTTAATATAGGATTAATTAGTACAAACAGTTTCGTCACCCAGATGTTACTAGTATAGCTCTTTATATTCCTGTTGCAATATGTTTCTAATGATTATACTTGTAATGGGTCTGTCATGTTAAGTAATGCGACATACTTGATTTTGATCCCCTATGTAAGGAGTTATTCGGTTGGAAACACCGTACCAGAAAACACACCTGGCCTAACGGTCACATTGGGTATTTTATCGACCAGCAATAATCACCACTTACGTTCAGACACTTGTATTGGTTATCATTTGATGAGAACAATTAGTGAATTTATTGGTACTAGTGCTTATTTCGCTAATAATCCGAAAACAAGGTGTTCGAAGATAGAGCTGCTGCTATTCTTCTTTTCTCTTCTGGCTAAGCAAGCTGGACAGTGTTCCAGAATACGATTGTGGACTTGACGTTGTGTACGGCCAATATACTTTGCTCCACATGAGCAAGTAAATTGATCAATACACACTGAAGCAGCCAAAAGCGATATCTTATCTTTAACGTTAGACTGGATTAACTGTTTGCTGGAGAATGTGATATGTAAGGTGGCTATGGAAAACAGTATGTATCGAAATGAAGTCTATAATTTATTACTGTTTCATACATTGAGATTGCGTGTACTATGTATGCACACTTAACAAACGCTTATATGTTATGTATATTCTGTCTAATACCAGTTTTCAAACAGTTCAGTTTTAATGGTAAGCGGTTAAACACAATTATTTTGTGTTCATTCTTTTTAGACGAGTTTTTAATCTTTTTTTTTAAATGCTGTTTCCTCATTTCTTGAAATTTGAATCTATAGTATTTATAAAAGTAGTTTGCATGCAGTAGCCTATGCATTTTTCCCTTTCTACATAATTCTACTTACTAGTCTTGTTTATGTACAGAACAAACTATACATATTTTATTCTTTTTGATTATTCCTTACTGAATATATACTTTTTTATCTGCGTACTTGTCTGTGTAGCTGTGAAGCAGTGAATACAAACTAATGCTTTATTTTTGCTCTTAGCATAGCATATACCATGTGCTGGTGAAATGATGCAACATCATTTTAGCTTCATAATCCACTTACCTACCTACCTATCTATCTATCTCTATTTAATTGCAAGCATATAGAAATGAAGCTTTCAGTGTTAATCATTTATCTATCAACTCTCTGGTTTATCACATTAGTGTACACAATATATGTGTGTTCGCTTATGTATCACCTTACTTCATAAATTGGTGTATTATTCATTTCATTAGTTTGAAGCAGTTATATCACCGCAAGCAATGCTTTCAAATAACATTTTATAAAAGCAGAATTTTATACGCTTGTTTTAAATTGCTTTACACTTACCTTCATATACATCCATTCTAGCATTGCTTGATAGTTTTTATAAATAAGTGATTGAATGAGAATGAAGTGTTTAAGCATTTAAGTAAATGGCTGATGAGTAATCTGCATTTGCTTTTTAAATATGTGAATAATAAAAATATTCTGCTTTCCTGTTAGGTCTTATCATCTACCTTGTTGCCGTTTGCCTATTTTGCTGACCACTGCAAGTACCTCTTTTTAGTCATCATAAGTATAAAAATACTCATATTGTAACGACA